CCTGACTGCCAGCCGGGAATCCATGTCAAGGTAGTAAAAGCGACCACGCGAACGAGCCTCGAGTATCACCGACGCTCCCGTACACACCTTTACCTGTCCCTCTATGTATCTAGATTACTAGCGCGAGACACAGTGGATTCGAATGTCTTACGACCCACTTGCCGCCACCAGTTTTCACGGTTTTCGTGGAACAACATTTCACTGGTCAAATTTATCTTTGATCTATTCTTGAACGGGCTCAATCTCTCTTTCTCTTGCATCCTCCATCTCTTTCTTTCTCTGCTACCTCTCTCTCTTTTTCTCCATCTCTCTCTATCTCTCTTTCTTTCTCTTCTTCTCCATCTCTCTCTCTCTCTCTCTCTCCATATCTCTCTTCATCTCTCTCTTGCTCTACCACGTCTGTTTCTCTTTTTCTCTCTTTTTCTCTCTTCCCGCGTCCACCGAGCGTCGCGAAAACAAAGACGAAACGATCCAATGAGGAATCGGTCATCCGCGGCATCGTCGTCTTGCATGACCTACCTTGGACAAGGTCGCATCGCAATGTTTCTGCGGGAATACATACCGAAAACTGGAGTTGCGTGCGTGTTGCTCTCGATACTGTACGTGTATACGCTTTTACCGATGAAAGTTAAGGAACGTGTTAAACAAATGCACATTCCTCTGTGTAGCAAACATTCTTAATATAGGATGCAAATTTCCATGGTGTCTACGAAAATATTGCTGTGATTTTTCTATCATCTTCTTAATTTTTTATTTTTATTTTATCTCCGAATTTCGCATTGCTTGTATTTTTCGGTATTTTTTCGTATTTCTTATTTTTTGTACGCTTCTGTACTTTTTCCCTATTTCTTTTGCATCTTTTTGTAATTTTCTTTGTCTTTCTTTGTATTTCTTTGTATATTCTGTCATATTATTTAGAATGATCTCGAACGATCTCGCAAGCCCCCGATAAATAATTCAATAACTCGTCGATGTTAAATTTGCGCCGACAAAGACGGCCGTCGTCGCTTCTTCGAAACGTCGATTTAGCATCGTTTATATCATATCTTACATTTTTCTCATAAATTCTTAACACAGCGTTTATGTACTTTTTTCCTGTTACATAACATTTTCGTATCATTTTTCCTCGTACCAACACACCGTAGCTCGGACAAAATCATTGATCACTCGGGGAAGATTTGAAAAATCGTATTTTGGCCAGCTGTTTAGACGCGATGCTCCATTGAGCGTCGCCGCGTGATTTAACCTCGTCGACGGCGACGTCGACGGAGACGTCGACGGAGACGGAGAAAGAGCACGCGACGACGCGCGACGTTCGATCCCGACATCCGACTCGCTTTTGCGGCGAGATCGCGAAATATCGGCGTGGAATGCCTGTTATTCGAGGCGTTGTGCGCGCCAAGGTGGATGCACCTGCGGTGCAGCTAATATCAGCAGGTGTGCGGGCGCGAATGAGCACTCGCCTGCATAAATATGCACCGCAGCTGTGTATTTAAAATCGCGGCAGTGCGCGTCCGCGGCGAGGAGAGCAGCGACGCGGCCAATAAATCCGTCGTGTGCGAGCCTGATGCGTTCCCTTTGTGCCCTCTGCTACACCAAACATGATTTAAAGGGACCTTTCATCCTCCTCGCAATAATTGTTCGATTATGCAGCTTATAATGATAACAGTTGTACCGTTCGTCTTATTATTGGCTAACTGTTTCGCTGTAATCTCTTTGAAATTTTCAAACGTCAATGCCTTATTTTTATAATTTAACTAAGGAACAGTTTGGGACAATCGAATGTTGCGTTCTCTCATTTCGTTTATTTCTGACGAATTCTGAATAATACATTTATTCGATTTTTTCATTTCGTTCCTAAAAAATTTGATGTCTTTTCCAATAAATATAAAGTTAATTCTGTGCACGAGAACGGCACAGTTATCTTGATATTTATTATATATGAAATTTGTTCGTCCAAAAATGAACAAAATAAGAGAATTAAAAAGTGTGACAAATGAGCCGTTTCTTTTGAAAGTGGCCTAGATATGTTTGTCTTAAAATCCAGATATTTAAGGATTTTGCGGTCTAATAAACTTAGAAATATTGCCAATTGTATTCTGCATTCTGTTTCTAAGGCTTATCTAAAGGGATGCCTATTTATTATTATTATTATTATTATTTTATTAGTTATCTAAGGGCATCCTAAAGGGCTCTCGCGCCACTTTCGAAACGAATAATAAATAATATATAAATTCAATTGCACCCGAAAACGAAAGAAAGGCGCAACAATTGGCCGCTCGGCCGCTAATTGCCAGCATTGTCGTAGGGTACGTCGGACGAAAGCAGGAATTGCCGAAATTTCGTCGGAAACGAGTGAAAGAATAATACGGCGGGCAAACGCATAAACGGAAGCTGTTGCGAATGCAGGTCAGTTTTTGGGACCCGGGAGCGTCTTCATCGATTCAATAAATGTTCGAAACTGGTCTGAAAGGGAAGCCCGGCACGTTCATGGAAGGGTCGCGGTTCGGCGCAGCGGGAAGGTGTCGGTTCCCCGCTGCTACGGGGCCCCCCTTTGTTGGCCCTCGGACCCGAACCTCGTTTTATACGATTCCCCTCTGTAGGTTTGCTACCTAAATATGTATATGTAGCCCGTTAGCCTGTGTATTATACAATCACCGCGGCGAGCCAGTTAAACGCTGGTCATTTACCTGAGCCACCGGGCCAACACGTTTCCCTAAATTACAGGCGAGCCCGAGAAAAATGTACGACGTTAAAATTCATTCCACAGAGTGTACTCTATCTTTATCGTGAATCTTTAATTGATAGACTGCGAGGTGGAATAGTTAATCACTTTTATGCGAGATCGAAGTTTCCCGAAACAGTTGCAGAAAACGAACGAACCTCCTTTTTTCTTCGTTTCGGGCAATTTAGTAGAGTGCATGGAACTGTTCACACCGGTGCATCGCGACGCGAGATGCATTGTTTTGCAAGGAACGCTTGTCAGGACGGCGATTGTTATGAACAATCGTGGATCGATACTTTTTATGCGTGCGATCGTGCACTAATTTTTATGCATGCCTTATATAGCGAACAGATAATTATAATATAATAATATAATAACAATATAATAATAATAATATAATAATAATAATAATAGTATATATAATATAGTATATATATATATATATATATATATATATATATATGTGTGTGTGTGTGTGTATAGTATATAATAATAATAGTAAATAGAAAATTGGTACGATAGCGATCGAAGGCCAAGACAATTAATTAATTACGCGACGCAACGATTCGTCCGGCGAGTCGACCAGTGAAAGTCGACCTTTAATTCCGTAACGTATCGTTCCGAAAACCGCTGGATCATCGTGTTCTTCTGTAAGGAGAGACGATTTCGTAACGAAAGAACAAAAACGGGAGCCGAATCAGAGCGGAAATTTCATCGGGAAGAAGAAACGCCGTCAGGAAACTGTTGTTGGTCGCCGGAAGAATGTGTGTCCGATCCGACGAATAATTGAAATCCTGCTGGCACGATTGGCCACGGGAATTTTACCTTGATCACAGCTGCGTTTACAAGTCGCTTGTTGTACATGTAGATACCGTTCTCGTTGCTTTTGCACGATCTAACGCCAAGGTCGTATTACCATAGGTCATTGGATTCGTCTTGATCTCAGCTATCGCGTCATAATGATTGCGATATGTACTTCCGAGATCGTAGCAGTAGTTTCTTAACTTTTCCAAATCGTCAAATAGCAGTTTTCATGAAATCACAGAATTTCTTTTATGTGCAAATCGATACATCTTTGTATCTTCTTCCACCGAATAATTAAGGCATTTCGATCGAAGATCGATCAGCTCTCGGAAGTTGCGATTTTTGCGCCGGTCGATCGCCTAAACGCCGCCGCGGTGCGCCGAGATAAAAAGTCCGCGGACTCGTCGATCAAAACGCGGAATGATCCGTCGCGCGTTCGAAAGTGCGGGACGAAAGTTGGACCGATCGAAAGTCCGTCCGAAGGCATTCGAATAGAAAGTTCGGTTAACAGTATATTTCGATAACCGGCGTGTGTCCCGATGAAAGTCCCCCGTCCGCGCGGTTCCCGTTTTTCGTTTTTATGCTCGGCCGGCAAACACACCGTAGATAGATTTATCGGCTCGATTACACGGCCATTTTGTTTTATCGGTTAATAACTCGCTCGCCGGAATAGAACCTGGCTCTCTCGATGCCGCTCGATGAACTTTGCTCTACCCCCGACCACGTCTCGATCTCTGTTATTGTCGTCGCGCGGAATTGAAGAACGATCTACGAAGAAAACGAGCCGAGACGATTCTCTGCGACGCGACGCACGATGCTTCGCGTCTTCGCACGAGATCGTGGACGACGCACAAGTTTTCGTGGACGAAAGATGTTTAATCGATGCGGTATGGAGTTTAACGTTATTCGTCGTTTTTACCAAATTTACGAAAATTAATCATTTCGGAAGAGATGATGCGATTATTCGAGCCTCGCGGCTCGACTTTTTATCGTCGTTGACAATCGAGACGCGAGGCTCGAATAATCGTGTCTCCTTTTCTCAAATTGTCCATTTTCGTGCACAATAATTTCTTTCCTAATTCGTGCTTCGATTGCGCACAAAAATGGAGAATTCGGGGGAAGAGGAGACACGATTATTCGAGCCTTGCGGCTTTTTATTCTCGTTGACAATCGGCGACTGTAACGAACGAGTCCCGAGGCTCGAATAATCGCATTTCCTCTTCCCGAATCGTCCATTTTTGTGCGCAATCTGAGCGCGAATTAGACAGAAATTACTATAATTCGATCGCATACCCTATATCTAGGTGATTTCATGGTTTCGTACGACGGCGAACCGCGACATCGGAGAACCGCGTTTTTCCTCTCCTTTTCGGTGCAGAGGAACGAGACGGTATCGGTGTTCGGCGTTTCAGCGCGACGCAACAGGAAAAACGAACGAATAAATAACAAAGCGATGTGTTTCTGTTTACAGTGAACCTGACAGACAGCGGAGGGCAGAGAGTAGACATGACGCACTTCGACTTGTTGAAGGTCCTTGGAACCGGAGGTACGTGGTGGACGTTGTCCGTTCGGTCTAGAGGCCGCTAAGTTCTTAACGAGGTGGTTGTTAATCATTCCCGAGCCATTACTTCTCGAATGCCTCGGGTGCGAGTTAAAAAGAGTATCTGGGAGTTTTAATCGGTGGGCACTTTGATCGGGAACAGATACCTGGTTATCGCGATTTCGGGATCCGGTTCGAGTGCTTCGGTATTGTTGGCAATGGCACTCGACGGATCTGGGATGATAGCTGATGTTATTACTGGACTGCGGATTTTTATGCAATCTTTCCTTTCCACGACCTATTTTCTTTTTTTTTTTTTTTAATTCAATCGGCGGCAGAATTGATCACTTCGATTAGAGGATTCGTTGCGGCAAATCTAAAGCTAAACATGCTATTCGTTTTATGCAATGTATAAATTTTATGTTACAATTCATCTCGTTGTTCGTATTGTCTTATAATAATTTGTAATGTTACTGATTATTTATCAGTACCTGGTAAATTTAATTATTGATATTAACTTATACAAATTTATTATATACAATATATTCATGTACACATTATTATTATATAATAAATATTTTATAATAATAATAATGTATATAATAATACATTATTTTCATATTAATAAATATCTAAAAAATTAAGTACATATAATAATAATAATATATAATTACATTTACCGTATAGTAAGTTTTTTATTTCTGTTTTCATACCGCCAATTGCAACTTAAAAAGAAAAAATATCTAGACATTGCCTAGTAAGCCTAGTCTCTCCAGCATCTCGGAACAATGCAAGTCATTCTCGTGGACTTTTATAAACAAGTTATCGTGCTGTCCGAGTATCAATGCCAGTCGCTGCACGTACAAAAATGTGCACGTTATTTCTTAAAGAAACGTGCTTAACGATTTCGACGAATTAACAATTGCCACGAATGCAGAAAGATCCGCAGTCTCTCTTTCTCTCTCTCTCTCTCTCTCTCTCTCTCTCTCTCTCTCTCTCTCTCTCTCTCTCTCTCTCTCTC